TGACCTTTGCATAGAGCAGTGTGTTTCTTAACCGGTGTTCTTAAACTTGTTACAACTGTTCCGCGAAATTATGAAAGTACGACGTACCTACCTAAAAAAAACCTACTATAATTTTTCTATTTTTATAAATATTATTTTTTTAATTTAAATTAAAAATTTTTTACTGTTATATAATCTATACTGCATAATTTTTAATAAAAAATATATTCATACATATTTTTGTTATTAGTTTATAAACTTAATGATTTTGGTGTTCCGCAAATTTTTCTTATAAAAAGAACCACTGTATAAAGAGACAAGAAAAATAATAATAAGATATATCACAGATGGACAGAAAATAATTTAATACTATTATAATCTTTGATAATATAAATTAATATATATAGCTAAACCGCGTCGTATCCCTAAATTGTTATATTCTTCTGTACATTCACTCCTATATTCCTAAATTCTTTTAAATCCTCAACACATTTTTCTATGCTGCATTATGATCATTTGTCGTTTGACATACATAAAATATAATTATGTGTAATTATATGTGTAAAATAAAAATATTATTGTGCATTTCGAGTTATAAACAATTGAAAATCAAAGGTTTTTCGCAAACTAAGTCTTGTGGAAATAAAATATTAATAAAACCACATTCTTCAATTAATTTCAAAATATATAGCATTTACTTTCATAAAATTTTAATTAAGGTTTAATTATAAAGATACATGATGGTAAAAATGGGAACATGCAAAAAATGTTGGCTTTCCTCGACATTTTTGCTCAGAAAAAATAATTTCCAAATAACGAGATCTACTTGTATATTTTCGGTGTGACACTTATTTATGTCAGACACCCTGTATATATATCAAAATAATAGCAGAAAGTGAAGAAAGGTATTTTTAAAAATGTAAAAAAGAAAGAAAATCCGAAATTTTATTAAGAATAGGAAGATTGTTTAGAGTACAAATTAAAAATAAGAGATTTATTATAATAAATTGTTTATTATTTTTCGCCGACAAACTGACAAATTTTGATTATTAATTGTACAACGTTCGACCATCGGTTCTGGTCCTTATCAAGTGCTATGATTTCTATATACACGATGAGATTTTGACTGTTGTTATTTAGTCATATTATAAATGTTCGGTAGACCGACTTTGTAAAGCGCCAACACATATATATCAACAAATTTATTATAACTGTGTGTAAATATATAAACAAAATGAGGGATTTTGAGAAATTATGTATATACAATTATAATGTGTAAAACAAAAGAACAGTTAATATAAATTCAATTTTAATGCTTTCATGGTGAAGCTCACGTAAAAGAAGGGAAAAAATAATAACAAAAGCTCTTTATCTCATTTGTTTTTCGTTTTTTAGAAAAAAGATGAATATTCTATTCATTTTTGTCAATAATATTTTTATGCTCTTATATTTTGAATTTGCTCCCAATTTTTATAAAGCAGGTAATTTTACTTTAAGGCACAACATAAGAAATTGTAATTGAGTCGATACCAGCTAGCCAAGAGTGATAAAATCACGTTTCGTTAAAGCTTTTCGGCAAAGTTTGCTTTAATTTAACAACAATTTTCTGGCAAACATTTGCCTTGCTTCGTCTGTCTAAATATTTCGAACAAATTAACGGCAAAAACTTTTCGTTATATGATGCTGCAATTAACAGAGAAAAGTTTGTTCGTAATTTTACTTATAGAAGAGAGCAAATGATGGTATCATGGTGAAATACAAACATTCTTACGTCAATAATAGCAATCTTGTGATACACGATATAAAGCAAATTTGTGACAAAAACAGAGCAAATCTTGCCATGCACGGTATAACAAACAATTTACGAAAAAATAGAGCAAAGTTAACTCTGATACGATAAGACGCAATATTCATGCAAATAACAGAGCAAACTTGCTGTGCATGGCGTGATAACAAATTTGTGGCAAAAATAGAGCAAAGATTTGTGTCTGGCTGATGCGGATGAGACGCAAAATTACGCAAATAACAGAGCAAACCTTGCCGTGCATGGCGTAGTCATGTGTCACATACGTTTGCGCGCTTTTAAGCGCGTTACTACGTTTGCGCGAATTTTTGTCCCTGTAACCTCCAGCACTGTTCCCGCGTTCTTCTAAATTCAACCACCGTGAGTGCTACCATACGTGCCGCAAGGTTATCACAGAGGTTATATTCTAGAAGCTTCCCCATTTTTGAGACGAGCTTCCAAGTTCTAAGTGCTGCAAGGTATCGCAGAGGATTAGAAGATTTTTCAGGCAAGTATGAAATCAGTTAAATATTCTGTTTCGCGTAAATCTTTCCACCGGTTGTCTGCGAGACAACGAAGGCGAATTACTTTGGAAATCAAAAATACTTTACATTCAAATGTTTCACAAGATCCTGTTACGCACAAACAGTTGGATAATGCTGCTTCCTTTCACGTTGTTGATTCTTTTCGGACAGACAATAAGGTTCTTTTACGGACAATATAGTATTAGATATATTCGTACTATTGATATATATTCAGGTGTTGCTGTTATTATTAGTTGAGAACTCCCAAGACGAAATTAATGGTGTTCAACTTGGCTCAGCGTCCAATAACATCGTCAAGAAATAAAAATCGTTTCCGTTATTCAATAATTAGATATATCACCGTTAAGGCCTGAAAAACTCAATCAATCAGATGTCGCAGATAAACTGACAGAACATCTTTTTTTTCGCTATTAGACAATAATGCGTTACTTCACGCGTATTAGGCGGCGGGAAAATTGATGCTATTATTGCAGAATTATAATGGCTTTAATATAATAACATATATAGTTAAATGAACAATCTTGATATACAGTCATTTGTCATGTTTAATTTTTTAATCTCTTTTCAATATAATAATTATAGACAAAAATATATCTACAGACAGTATATTTATTTATATAGATAATCTATTTATATTTGTCTATATTATTATATTTGAAAAGAGATTAAAAATCTAAAACATGTTACGAATAATTCTAAGGCTCAAGATTTTAAAATTA